ATCAATTTTCATCCAATAAAATTCGTTAAAACTTATTGTACACCCCCAGCGCAGGTTAAACATCTACACCTCCGGTGTAGGTTAAGGATGCCCTAAGAAATCATGTCCAAAATAAAAAGACAGAGTTGTAATATGACGTGACTAATATTTTGCAAAGTCACGTGATAGAACCATCCCGGAATTCTTTTATATTTTTAGAACATAAAAAAAGAACTGATCAGCGGTAATTAGCCGAGGAAATCCGTTTTGTATATGTTTTTTAATCAATTTCTTTTCGAGGATACAATAACAATTAATTTGAAGAAAATAATTATAAATAAGATGAGAAAACAAATTAACTTGAAAACTTCAACGATAATTTTTTAATAACCTTTTCAAAGAAAAAAAAAAACGAAAAAACCTCACATTTCAACCTAAATTCCTGATATTACCTTTTGTTAGTTAATCATGGATAACAAACTAAAATACAAAACCAACGAAAATGGAACAAAATATGTTCCAAAATACGACCTACATGGTTGTACTAAAAAACAAGCATGTAAAGAAGTATATAATGTAATCATACAATGTTTTGAACTCGAAATAAGCTCAATAACTTTCATTACTGGCAGAGGAAATCATCAAAATTTAAATGGAGAACGAGCGGTGCTCTTCAAAAATTTTCCAGTATGGCTAAACGACCCAAAGATATCAAGCTTGATTAAAGATTGCAAACCTGGGGATGGATTTTACAAAGTTCTTCTTAACATTGAGGAAAATAAAAATGCTAAGAAAAATAAGAAAAGTAAGAAGGATAATAAGGCAATTAAAGAAATTAAGAAGAATGTTAAAGAAATTAAAGAAATTAAGAAGGATGTTAAGGAAATTAAGGAAAATAGGAAGAATGTTAAGGAAATTAAGAAAAATAAGGAGAAGGTTAAGGAAATTAAGGAAAATAAGATGGTTAAGAAAAATAAGAGGAAGGTTAAGAAAAATAAGAAGAAAGATGAGGAAATGAATAGTGCTAAAAGTATTGAGAGTGTGGAGGTGGCGAATATGGAGAAGAAATATGTTGAAAAGAACAATTGCGTTAAGGATGAACCGAAAAAGAGTAGTATATTTACGAATGTATTTGAACGAATTTCTGTGTTATTTCGATCTGGTATTTCGAGCTGTATGTCGAGGATCTGTATGATGATTAGGATATGATCACCATTTACTTTTTTGGACAATTTTCATTCATTTCATTAAATAGATACATAGATTAAATAGACATACAATCTGTTATATAAATTTCAAATTTCATAATAAACATACATAATCTTTTTTCAAAAATAAATAAATGTTTTCAATAAAACGTCCTATTTTTAATAACCTGTGCTTGAATTCGTCAATAAACAGTTTTCTGCCGATATTTAAATCAAATATTCGAATAAAAAGGACAAAGCATAACCATTTTTCTTCAAGTTTGCTTATACAAGAACAATTTTCTCCTCCTCCTTCACAACCTTCTTCAAAGAATAATGAAACTTCAACAGCAAAGCCAATAAAGAATACACATTTTTCACAATATTATTTTAATACGTATAAAGTTGTTAAAGACTTTGAAGGACAAGGTTTTACTAGAGGTCAAGCCAAGGCTATTATGAAAGGTATGGAAGCTATATTAATTAATAGGTACGAATTTAACTTTTGAATTCTTTTTCAAAATTTAATGATTAGATTGTTTAATCAAATCATTTTTTTTTTTTTTAGTTTTAAGATACAGTCAAAGTTATTATCGAAATCAGATTTAGAAAATGTATTTAACCCTCAAAAGTATCATCTTTCATTTAACTATATAATTTTTTTTTTTTAACCTTTCTTCTCTCTCTCTCTCAACAAAAAAAAAAAAAAAAAAAAAAAAAAAATAAGGAATCATATTTATTTAAAGCAGCATTAACAGATCTTCGTACAGAAATGCAGATGATACGTAAAAATAATTTAATTGATCTAAATTCAGAAAATTCTCTGATGCAAAGAGAAGTTACATCAGTCTATCAAAAATTTCAAGATGATATCGGTAAAATGAAACATTTCATACAATTAGATATAAATAATTATAAAGCTGATATAAGAGAAGAACAAAAAAAATTGGAAATCAAGATTCAAGAAATTAATAATAAATTTACTATTACTTATGGAGATATACGCACTGATGTTGAAGCATTAAAATGGGAAACTACTAGGATGGCATTAAGTATATTATTGAACTTTTTAGTTATTTGATCTTTTATATCGTTAATTGATAAACCGTCTAATTGAAAAATTGATGAATTGATTTTCTCTGTAGTGGGAATCTTTGGAACAGCAGTTTTTGCTCTTGGTGTGATGTTTTTTATTTCCTATAAAAAGTCAAAGGAAATTTCAACCATAAAAAACGCTAAATCTAATAATGGATCAGCTACAAATGAAATATTATTAAATTATTAAATCAAAAGAAAACTTGCAATCATTTAATATTTGAAAAAATAATTTTTCTGACATGTTGCGTTAATTTATAAATTAATAGATTCGGTAATTTTTTTATTCACAAATTACAATAGCGTTAAGATAATAATACAAAAATTTATAAAACTAGATAACATAAAAAATTTGAAACTCAAACTCTCAAAACTTTCTTTGAATTCATGAATTCGACAGAGTTGAACTTGATGAAATACTGCCAGGTCTTTTTGGCCTTGGATTTGCCCCAGCAGAGCGTGCAATTATACCTAAAACATCCGTCAAGCTTACAAGTCCTATAGCTTGCATTCTATCGTCTACAACCCAAACTCTATGCGCTTTAGTAGCCACAAGTTTAGCAATCGTGTATCCCAATGTGGATGTTAACCGAACATCAAAGACTGGAAATCTGTCTTTTCCATCTTCTAATCCTTGTCTGATTCTCACATTATTAACAAATTGTTTACATGTTCTCCACATCAGAGAATGACTATAGCTTCTAAGGATGTACTAGTTAAAGTTAAATTAAAATGGTCAATAAATTACCAATTCGGTTTAAGTAATTCAGAATAAAAAAATTCTTGAACAAACTTTAACATCTGTCATACTAATATTTCCCAATAGAACTCCATCATCGTTAACAATAGCAATTGAACTTAATGAATTTTTATCTTTAATTAAAAGTTTTTAATTATTATTAATAAATAAATCAAAATAATTAAAGTAAAATAAAAGGTGTTTAACGGCTTACTCATCATTGTTAATGCTTCAAGTACGAAAGAATCTGCTTGGGCAGATATCACAGTGCTTCTGCCAATATCAAGATCTTCAATCTGTAATTTAAATTATGTGAGCGTTTTAATAAATCTGACAAAAAATTGGATTGTCGTAATACAAAATACGTTACAGTTTTGGGGAAAAGTTGTTCGATTTTAGGAAATTTCGTCACCTAAAAAAAAAAAAAAATAAACGAATAAGAAAAAATTATTAGCAGTATTTTTTTTATTCCTCTTAGATCTATTTAATCCGATATTTATAAAATATAATATATATATAATGTATCATACATTATCATATAGGTAATTAACAACTCTTGACTGAGATAAAATGCCCTTCATGTTGCCATCCGCATCGACAACGACAACTAAATTAAGCGTAAGATTTCATATGAATTACGCAAATTAAAAAAGGTTTTACGAAAAAAAAAAAAAAAATATTATTAATACCTCTATGAGTTCCACTACCAAATAATTCAACGACTTGTAGCAATGAAGTTTCGGGATATACCGAATAAAAAGGATTTTTGTTGGATAAATCTATGAAATTTCTTAGATTTATTACCATAGAAAATTATTAGAGGAACATTAGATTTTATTTTAAATTACCTGAAGCCAATTTAACAGGAACCGGTTGACATTGTATTGCCAATTTCAATAAATCATTGAATTCGGATGTCAATTCTTCATCAGATTTTTGTTGCTGTTCTAAAATATCCTTCTTTTTCAAAACAATTAAAAGATAGGTCATGACATCTGCCCAATCAAACATTCCAACATAAGTTTTGGTTTTATTGTCATAAACTGGAGCAGAAGATATATTATTTTTAATAAGAATCTATAAACAAAGTACAAACGCTTAGTTAAACATAATATTCGAACAAATAAATAAATAAATAAATCCTTACATCACAGGCTTCTTCTATTGCAGTTTCACCGTCACTTGAGGAGAGAAAAGAGGACATGATTATTCTGATCGTGATTAATAAATGCAATCATTCATTTAATGACACGTTACATTATAATAACTTTTTGGTTAGCTACAAGTTCAATAGCTTTTATCAAGGTCCAATCGTGGGTCTCGGTGGTAAGGCCTTCACGAGGCGCGTCGTCACCTGAAGCAGTTGAACGACGCGATCTCGGTAGTCCAGTTTTCGGGTCCATGTTTGAAATTTTGGACGAATACTAATTGTACATGTGATACAAGTAAAATTTTTAACAAACAGAGTCACGCGTAATTTATCGTTGATCAAATTTGCAAGATAAAATCTTTGCCAAGTATAAATAGAGAGAAACTAATATATATCAGGATTAATTTTAAGCAAATTTGGCATCGACAAAGAAGTGTTTTTATTTATTTAATATATGAAATAGAAAAGTTTTGAAAATTTGAAAATTTGATAATATGAAAATTTCAGTGAATATAAAATGTAAATAATAAAAATAATAAGTAATCAATTAAAAGAACTTGCGGATCCTCGATATACAGTTCGAAATACCGGATCGAAATGATTGAAATAACGCAGAAATTCGTTGAAATACATTCGTAAATGTTTTCTTTTTTTGTTCAGACTTAACATCAATCTTTTCAGAATATCTCATAGTCTTCCTCTTCATCGCATTATTAATATTCTTAGCATTCTTCCTTTCCTTATTTTCAATAACTTTCTTCTTATTTTCTTTAGCATTATTCTTCACCACATTCTTAATAGTTTTATTTTCCTCAATGTTAAGATAAACTTTGTAAGAACCATCTCCAGGTACGGAATCTTTAATCAAGCTTGATACCTTTGGGTCGTTTAGCCATACTGGAAAATTTTTGAAGAGTACTGCTCGATCTCCATTTAAATTTTTATGATTGCCTCTACCAGTAATGAAATTTATTGAACTTATTTCGAGTTCAGAACATCGTAAGATTACATTCTTTACTTCTTTACATGCTTTTTTTTTAGTACATCCATGTAGGTCGTATTTTGGCACATATTTTATTCCTTTTTCGCTGGTCTTGTATTTTAGTTTGTTATCCATGATTAATTAACAAATGGTAATAGAAGGAATTTAGGTTGAAATTTGTGTAGATTTATATATATATATATGAACAATTTAATTTGATAATTTTTAACTATTTTGATAAAATTTTTTCTTCATCCCAAATCTTTTTATATATATTTTTTTTTTCAAATTTAATTGTTTCGTTGAGTTTCAAATATTCATTGATTTCTTACCAATTTTAGTGAACAACTTTTACCACTATTTCAAATGAAAATCTCTTATCCGGAAATTATACTCCATGAGTTACACATCTATTTATACTTTAATTCATATAAACAAATATATCAAGAAAATATTCACCTTTCCGATGTGTGACTCTGTTTTTGAAAACAAAAAAGAAATGAATCGATGCACAAACGATAAGGCCAAATTCCTTTTTTTGGAGATGTGAACCTCTGAATTAGGTAATATACAATGTCGACTCGGGGCTTACAAAAAAAAAGATTAACTTTTTTAGCATTACATTTTCACAACACTTGTTTTATATTCATTTGGAATTACATCATGTTCTATTTTTATTCAGACCTCAATGATTTAATTAGGTAGAGGAATGCTGCAGAACCATCTGTCTTGGAACGGATGTTGTGATTCTGAACAAGTTGAAATTGTGATATTTTGTGAATTTTCTGACTTTTTTGTTCTAGTTTCGCGAATCGTTCTTTAAAGTTCAACATGAAGTTAGCAATCCTCGCTTTCTCATATCACATGAAAATATTGATTGTAAAAATACGCTTTTGATTTATTGGTTGTAATAATACAAAAGATTTAAACCTATCTCAGCGTCCAGTTTTCGTTTGCTAAACTATCTACTAACACATCATCTCCGTTTTCATCGATATTTTGGATAGAATAAAAATGGTCGTCAGTTACGCGTGCAGTGACAGAAGTAATCTTTGAATGTACGACGAAAAATAATTGAATCCCGCTATCGATAATACCATTTCTAATCTTTTAAACACGCTTTCTTCAAACTGCAATATTTTGGCTTTGAAGTCGAGGCTCTCGGAGTGAGAAAAAAAACATTTATGAATCCTTATATAATCACAGACCGTACGACCGTTATTATAAAAGATATTGGAATAGACGTTTAAAGGAGGGATCTTATGATTATTCCTTTCCACTATTCCGTATTATTGTCATTAATTTTCATCAGGAAAATATTAATTCATAATAAGTATGTGTAAATTTGCATAAACATACACAGTCATAAAGTTGTAAGTTTGCATAATAAATTCCATAAGTTTACAACTTTTAAATTTTTCTGATATTGTTCATCTAATTTTATTCTATTTCTATTAAACAAATGATAATTGGCATTTAAAAGTCACACTTAATTTAAATGAATTTAATGACCATTTCCAAAAATGATTTGACCATTTGTTTACTTAAAAGTTATTATATATGGGAACCCGGAAAAATTCCATTTTTATAATAAATGAATAAATGAATTTTTGGTTTTTATGACACGTGACAATTAACCAATAATAATCACAGATCAGTGGAAGAAATTAATTTAAAATCTTTCGAGTGGAAGGACAATTTAAGTTTTGATTATACATCCAATAATTAAGTTACAAAGATAATGGAATTTTCTGAACTGGACGAATTTTGGAAATAGCACGTAATTATATATGGTTGCCAATCTCTTCTTGTGCGGTAGAAAGGAGATATAATAAAATTTTAGATGATGATAGGCAAAATTTAATTCCGGAATCATTTAAATATCTTACTATGATATATTTTAATAATCAAAATAATAATAAATAAATACAAAATTTTTATCAAAATAAAATCAGAAATTTTGCTGTTATTATGATAAAATTTACAATTTGATATCAGAATTTTTCAGGTCTCTGATTAGAAGTTAGGATTGATCATGTGATTTTATATTTTGTGATCATATGTTTACAGGTCTAACTTGTAATATTGCTTTTCTTTTAAAACCTTTTGCATTTTTTGCTTATTGCTCTTATTAAATAATCTGAAATATAGCATTCATTTTAATAATAATAATACAAATGAAAATATATTGGTTATTTTAATCAAATTAACAATATATTTTTTATTAAAATTCAAATTTTGAAGTATATCAAATAGTAAAGTTGCTTTTAATAATACTAATAATATTAAAGATCTTGAAGAAAATTTTTAAAGAAATGCATTTAAGTAACTTTGAATTTACAGATGAACATTATATTAAAAGTAAAGTTTATGAATCTGAAATTAAAGTAAAAGAGATTTTTTGATAATAAAAAATACTTATATTTTTCTAATTGTTTTAAAAAAATTGGTTATAACTGGTTTCTCATATATTGAATAAAATTTGAAAATTTAGATAAAATATGTAGAATATGATATTAAAAGACAATTTATAATTTTTCAATATACTAATCATAAAAAAGTTTTATATTTTAAATATTATTTAAATAATAGTCTTTCAATTTATTATATTATATATAAAACTCTTATTAGAATTAGTTATATAAATTTAGATAATTTAATAAAACATTTCTGAAAATACAGTCTTGAAAAATGTAATCTTAGTAAAATTTTTAAAAAGTATAAATCATATTAAAATAAATTATGATATGTTATATAAAATTTATAATTTTTAAAAAATTATACTGATATATATAGCTTATCTTTAAGAAAAAGAAAAAAAAAGAAAGAAATACTTGAGCGAAACTTTAATAAAATATCAATACTAATTGTATTTTAGTAAATTATATATAATTATATATTAGTATATCATGATTATATATAATTTATAAGAATAAATATGAAAAAAAAAATATGTTATAGCTAAATCAACTTAACAAAAAATTTAAAAAATTCTAATATCATTACTTTAGTTTATATCTTCAAAATCTGATTTATATAAAATTTATAAATAATGAAATTAGATATTCAATATACTATAGAATGTAAAAAGAAATTAAAATATAAAAAAAATATTTAGCTAATTTAAATTTTGCAAAACAAAAATATGATTACTATAATATTAATATTAAACATGTAGTTGAGATAATATATATATTTTAATACAATTAAATTTTAAATATTATTTAAAAATTTGAAGATAGTATTCATATTATATATGATTAAGTTTAAAATATATAAATTTTTTTATTCACTTTAATAAATAAGATTTATATTCTTTAAAAGTTTTTAAAAAATACATTTATTTAAAATTAATAATATTATATACTTTTCACATATAAAATAAATTAATTATATAATTGATAAAACTAAAATATCTGATAATGGTAAATAAGAGAAAGATGTAAATTATATGATTAGTTTAGTTTATTATACAATTCAAAATATAATTATAAGAAAAAATTAGTTATCATATATAATAACTACATAGTCAAAACAAAAATAATTATTTTTTAAATTTATTCTAGTTAATTAATCATAATTTATATGAAGAAATTGAATTAAATTTTATAATATCTAGGTATATTAAATTTATTTATAATAGTTATTTTAATTTAATAAAATTTATTATTATTAAAGTAAAATAAAGTAATTACTATAGATAACATATAGAAAGTATCTAAATGCTTCTTATTTAATATAAAACTTAAAATTTTTAATATTAACAATAAATATCAATTAATATTTTATTTAGATTCAGTAAAAATTATATTTTATATTAAGTAATTAATATTTAGTTAAATACTATAAACTTGAATTTTTTATAATAAATTATTAACTAAATTTTTAATAGTATACTTTAGAAGTTCTTTTATATTTTTTTAATATATCAGTTAAAGTTATTGAGATTAAATAATAGTTTTTTATATATACAAATCTTTTTTTTAATTTTAGTCTAAAGATTTTAATTAGATTAAAATTAAAAAATTTTAAACTAAAGATAATATACAAAAATTATTTTTGCATAAAAAGACCATTGTAATCTAAAAATAAGTATTATCTTCTTAGTATACTTTGATATTAATTAATTTTGATGATATCAAATTAATTATATTAATTTAATATTTATTATAAATTATTAATAAAATAATTATATCTATTAAAATAATATTTAATTAGTAATTTATCAATTTGTGTTAAAGTTTACTTGATTAAGATTATATCTAACTGTTATTAAAATATAATAAAGACTATTTATTTTTTAATTGCTATTTGAGCAGTTTTATTAGAACTGAGAAAAAGTGCATTTATCATTCTATATTATCTTTAATTAATTCAATTTAATCTAATTTTAATATTCTAAATATTATATAAAATGTGCTATAATATTTGTTAATGAAATTAATAAATTTTTTTTTATAATACAACTTTTCAATTTTATTAAATAAAAAAGTTCATTTAATAATCAGAATTAATACATTTTATCTGAACTTTTTTTTAAAGTTACTATACTTAACAGTGTATATATGATAATTTTTGATATTATTATTAGAGTTCCAGATGAGTCGAGTTAACTCACGAGTCAGATAAGCCGAGTTGAGTTTAAATCAAGTTAAGTTTATGTTTTTTTGACTC